CTGAAGCTCTGGTGGTATAAATATTAGATCTTTATTGTCCCAGAGATCTCTAAGGCTCTGTTCATATTGGCATCAATTGATTGCTCTTCTCATTCAAATGTGATATTTCTGATTCTTGGCGTGATGAGTGACTTTTCTTATCATATCCCGAACAATTTGGTTATTATGTTAGGAGACTCTCTATTCTCATTTAAATCTTCTCATTTAGCAGGCAGTCACTGTGTTTACGTTCAGCATGCTCAATGTGGCTTATTTTTGTGGGCTTTAGTTCCAGTGACACATGTTAGGAGACTCTCTATTCTCATTTAAATCTTCTCATTTAGCAGGCAGTCACTGTGTTTAGGTTCAGCATGCTCAATGTGGCTTATTTTTGTGGGCTTTAGTTCCAGTGACAGTTTAGTTTTCTGAGCCATCTCGTGTTGCTGGGGCTCCTACTCAATTCCTGTTCGGTTGTGGCTGCAGGAGTGGAAGGCACTTCCCTGGGCTGCCTGTTGTTGCTGGGTGACCTTCTGGGGCACAGGGGCAGAAGTTGCTAGGCTCGAGTCTCCTTGTGCCACAGAGTAAAAATACAGGAAAAGTACTTAGCCTAGTAAGTACTCAATAGATGTTGTTTTTACGATGACCGTTCCCACCATTACATTTCTGGTCTCTCTCATCACATGGGCTTTACAAGTATAGAATTAATTGCCAAATCCTGAGCAATATAGGAATCTGAAGTGCCCACCATCCTTTTTGCGTTTGGCAACCTATCCTACTCATCCTTTAATCTTCTTCCTCACCATGTCTACCATGAGATGTCTTTAGCTACTCACCCAGCTAGAGTGAGAAACATCCTACACTGGATGTGATTTGTTGCTTTGTTACATCTTTTAGCACAGCATTTGGTAGTGGTTTTCTAGACCGCCAGCCCTATCCTGTGAGCCTCCCTCAAGACACAAGAGTTTGGTCTGGTTTTGTAAGTTATGTCCCAGACCTAGCAAAATGCCTGGCATGTGGTACTTAGGTTCTTACTAAATATCTTGAAGTGAAAGAGAGTAAAGCTAAATGAAGGAGGCCTAGGTGAGAGGAACTGGATGGGTCAAGGCATAGAATTCCCACATTCATGTCTGGGTCTGAGAAACTGTTAATGGTGAGGGCACCTATGGCATATGGTGAGGCTTTGGAGAAGGCTTTGGTGGGGGGCAGGGAAGTAGACATGTGCTGGATAGTTGACATTTCCTTTGGCCATCAGTCTCTACTCCCTTCTTATTCCTGACTCTTAGTGTGAGAGAAAGGTCCTGTTCACCCAATGATGTTCTGGCCTCCTTTCAGCTAGGGTGTGAGTGATGTGACCCAGGCACCACCAGCCAGAATAACCTCCTAGGCTTTGAACTGAGAGAGAGTGATTCCAGATGGTGGGCCTGGCAGGGAAAGCCATGGGAGTGGTGGTGGATACAGATTGATGTAGCTCCTGGGGTGGCAGTGGCAGTGGGCTGCTGGTCCATCTTCTCTCTGACACTCCCAGTGTTGGTGAGGCAAGCTACAGCATCTGGCATTCAGCAGTGGGGCCCCCACCAGGCAGGTCTACAGCAGGATTTGGGGCCTTGCTCCTGTTGTGAGGTCCCAAGGTGGGTTCTACTGGCCATCTGGTGATGCTGTGAGCTATACTGATGTCCTTTTCCTAAAACTCTTCCTGCTTCAATCAACCACAGTTGGTTTTCTTGCTTATGACTAAAGCTGGACTGACACACTGGGACTGAAATGGGGGGAGGTTTAAGAAGGATTTTGGACAATTCAAAGTCCTGTATATCTACTAATAGTGTCTTGATAAGAATCATTTTTGCATATTAAGGAGAATACATTCCAGTGAATTCCTTAAAATCCATTTTTTTCAATATTTATGAAGTGTTCAAGAGATTTTCTAATTTGTAATTGTTTAGTATGGTTTGAGATGTTGCTAAAAATCTGTTATTAATTTCGTTTGACTTTCAATGTGTATATTCTTATCTGTTCTATTTTTACATGAAAAGTTATCGATGGTGTTATGATTGATGTTATGTACTGGAAAGAGAATGGGCCATAACTTATTCCTTTTGATTGATTATAATTTTGACTGGTTTTTGTTTGTCTACTTCCATCATGTATAAAGACTTTAGAGTCCCTCATTCAATACCTTGCATTTATATAAGACCTAATAGTGTGTCCAGGCACTTGAAGGTATGTATTTCACCAGAACATTATGGAATCAAGTTATATTAGATATGTCCATGTGTCCATTGTTAGGTTGCTAATGATACCACACTCATATTTGCCAAATATTGAGTGTCATGAGTAAGTTCTGGTTTGAAACGAACATGCAGGGTGTGTTCAGGCTGCATGTTTAAGCTCTGTTGACAGCAAAGCGAGCAGTAACTGAATTAGTGTCTCATCTAGAAATACAGAAAGATAAAAATGCTTTAAGACTGCCTGGTTGACAGCAAAGCGAGCAGTAACTGAATTAGTGTCTCATCTAGAAATACAGAAAGATAAAATTGCTTTAAGACTGCCTGGAGGGCCGGCCCGGTGGCGCACTGGAGAGTGCGCCGCTTGGGAGTGCGGTGGCGCTCCCGCCGAGGGTTCGGATCCCATGTGGAGACCGGTTCCCGCTCACTGGCTGAACGTGGTGGGGGCGCAACACCGAGGGTTGCGATCCCGTTGCCGGTCCCCAGTGCGGGCACGACACCAAGGGTTGCAGTCCTGTTACCAGTCAGTAAAAAAGACAAAAAGGAAAAAAAAAAAAAAAAAGACTGCCTGGAGAGAAACTTCCACAGCACACCCAGGGATTTGGTTTCTTGGAATCATTGGGATTAAATTATTATCTCAATATAATTTTAATTTATCTTTCATTTCACAAGTACTTTTCCTTTTTTTTTTTTTTAAGCAGAGAATAAATACCACCTGTTTGTGGGATCTTTTCTGCAATTCACGTATGTCCTTGGTGTCTCCCTTTCTCTTCCATAGGTTGGAAGTTCCACAAACACGCTGAATGCCCTGAAAATTGCTTTTGGTGATAAAGACACACAAGTGATCTATCTTCTGACAGATGGGAGACCTGATCAGGTACTTATCAATGTTGGGAACAAAGAGGGGCTCACCAATACTCTGGAATTGAATGCTGAGAATCGGTTTGGGGGACCTTTTCAAATGCCACCAAAAAGCTGTTGAGAGATATTTCCTTGGTTTAAGAACTCAGAACTGAGGTGAGAAAATACACTAAGGAATTCCTTTGTCTACTAAAACTCTGAGGAGAATTTATGTTGTCGTGAGTGTTGTCTGGTTAACGTGACACACGCCCATAGCCTGGAGCCCAATCCCATGAAAGGAGAGTCTGCCTTCCAGACCTGGTTTATGTTTTATCACAAACTAAGAGTAACGAGGTTCTTTTTGATTTTTTTCCTTTGGGGACTCTGAATCTCAACAATGTCACTACACGGTGTCCTCGGCTTTACCCCTCATTTTAACTTAGTACTCATTTAAACAAAAGCATGCCTTCCTAGTGAAATGCTCTTTGTTTTGTTTAGCCTGCCTGGAAAATATTTGAAAAGTTAGAGGAGTCAGTTTATATTCTTTTGAGCTTTGTGAATGAAAGACTAGTGCTCCAGACATTAAATAAATATAAGGATTTTCGGGCCTGTACAATGTAAATCAACAGCTAAAGTGAATTAGGGTCAAGTTGTATCCTTCCTTGTAAGATGTTTACATATGCAGACCGCTTGGCAAATATTCTAAAATGTCCTGTGTCAAATGGTTCAGAGCTTACATAGTAAAGCAACTGGATTTTACTACAGCTATAGATTTATGGTAGAAAGTTAGTATTTAAAGTGAAATTTTATTTTGAGTGGTTTTCCTATTGACTTCGTTGTATTTTCTATTCAGAAGCAGTATATTACTTGTGTTTCTTTATCAAATAAAGAGTGTCTCTTATGTTCTATGTGTAGTGCCAAGGTTTGAGGCTGTCAAGATGAACAGTAGCTCACCCCTGCCTTCGGGGGGCTGATGCTTTGAGGAACGTGTTAGACATATGCAGCTAACCCTGGTATGACACTGGGAAAGGGTTGCCTGTGCCATGTCTAGGAGCACAGAGTGATGAATTCTGCCGTATAAGATGGAGAGAAGACCAGAGACGTTTCCATGGAAGTGGGGACGTTTGAGCTGTGTCTGAAAAGAGAAATTTTCTTAAAAAAAAAAATAATAATAATTAATTGAACATATCTGTGGGGTACACACATCAATACCTGTATGTTATATGTGATGCTGAAATCAGGATAATTAGTATATTCAACATCACATAATGTAATCATTTTTGTAGCCCTTTACCAATTTCTCACTAACCCCCCTCCTGCTCTCCCTCCCTTCCCCTCCCCCTTTCCCACCTCTGGTGGCCTCAGTTCTGTTCTCTCCTTTTGAAAGTTCAGCAAATTATTGTGATTGTTGTTTCTTTTCTTCCCTTCCCTTCACTTTCCTTCCCTTCCCTCCTTCCTTCTTTCTTTCTTTCTTTTCTCTCTCTCTCTTTCTTGTTTATTTTTTTAGCTCTCACTTATGAGTGAGGACATATGTTATTTCTCTTTCTGTGCCTGGCTTTTCACTTAACTTAATTTTCTCCAAGTTCATCCATGCTGCTGCAAATGACAGAATTTTATTCGTTTTTATGGTGAAGTAACAATTCCATTGTGTATATATATATATATACCATATTTTACACATGCAGATTTTTTACACATCCAGTTGTCCATCGATGGGCAGTTAGGTTAATTCCAACTCTTGGCTATTGTAAATTCCAACTCTTGGCTGTTGTATATAGATAAACAGGGATGTTTTCCATTCCTTTGGGTATGCACCCAGTATTGGGATTGTGGATCATATGGAAGGAAGTTCTATCTGTGGTTGTCTGAGGAACCTCCATACTGCTTTTCATAATGGCTGCACTAATTTACAGTCCCACCAACAGTGTAGGAGGGTTCCCCTTTCTGCTCGTCTCACCAGCATTTGGTATTCTTTGTCTTTTTTATAATAGCTAGTCTACCTAGGGTGAGGTGGTATCTCAATGTGGTTTTGATTTGCGTTTCCCTGATGCTTACTAATATTGAGCATTTTTTCATGTGTCTCTTGGCCATTGGTATATCTTCCTTTGAGAAATGCCTATTTAGCCCCTTCACCCATTTTTTAACTGGGTTACTTGTTCTTTTTACTATTAAGTTGTTTGAATTCCTTGTGTGTTCTGGATATTAATCCTTTGTCAATGCACAGTTTGAAAATATTTTCCTTCCTTCCTTCCTTCCTTCCTTCCTTCCTTCCTTCCTTCCTTCTTTCTTTTTTTCTTTTCTCTCTCTCTCTCTTTCTTTCTTTCTTGTTTACTTTTTTAGCTCTCACTTATGAGTGAGGACATATGTTATTTCTCTTTCTGTGCCTGGCTTTTCACTTAACTTAATTTTCTCCAAGTTCATCCATGTTGCTGCAAATGACAGAATTTTATTCGTTTTTATGGTGAAGTAACAATTCCATTGTATATATATATACCATATTTTACACATGCAGATTTTTTACACATCCAGTTGTCCATCGATGGGCAGTTAGGTTAATTCCAACTCTTGGCTGTTGTATATAGATAAACAGGGATGTTTTCCATTCCTTTGGGTATGCACCCAGTATTGGGATTGTGGATCATATGGAAGGAAGTTCTATCTGTGGTTGTCTGAGGAACCTCCATACTGCTTTTCATAATGGCTGCACTAATTTACAGTCCCACCAACAGTGTAGGAGGGTTCCCCTTTCTCCTCGTCTCACCAGCATTTGGTATTCTTTGTCTTTTTTATAATAGCTAGTCTACCTAGGGTGAGGTGGTATCTCAATGTGGTTTTGACTTGTGTTTCCCTGATGCTTACTAATATTGAGCATTTTTTCATGTGTCTGTTGGCCATTGGGATATCTTCCTTTGAGAAATGCCTATTTAGCTCCTTCACCTATTTTTTTTAACTGGGTTACTTACTCTTTTTACTATTAAGTTGTTTGAATTCCTTGTGTGTTCTGGATATTAATCCTTTGTCAATGCACAGTTTGAAAGTATGTTGTCCCACTCTGTAGGTTGATTTTTCACTGTTGATTGTTTCTTCTGCTGTGCAAAAGCTTTTTTATTTGATATAATCCCATTTGTTTATTTTTTCCTTTTGTTGACTGTGCTTTTGGAGTCTTATTCATGAAGTTTTTGCCCAGTCCTGCTTCCTGAAGTGTTTCCCCTATGTTTTCTCTTTGGAGTTTTATAGTTTCAGGTCTTATGTTTAAGTATTTAACACATTTTGAGTTGATTTTGGTATATGACCAGAGGTATACGGGTCTAGTTTCATTCTTCTAGATATGAAGGTCCAGTTTTCCCAGCACCATTTATTGAAGAGGGATATTCTGGTGCCTTTGTCAAAGATCATTTGGCTGTAAGTACGTGGCTTGATTTCTGGGTTCTCTGTTCTGTTCCTTGGTCCAAAGGTCTGTTTTTACGCCAGTACCGTAAGTGTTTTGGACTACAGCTTTGTAGTATAATTTGAAGTCAGGTAGTGTAATGTCTTCAGCTTTATTATTATTATTTGTTTTAATTAATTAATTTGTTTGTTTGTTTATTTATTTATTTGCTCAGGATTGCTTTGGCTGTTTTGAGTCTTTTGTTGTTCCATATGAATGTCAGGATTGTTTCTTCTACTTCTTCGAAGAATGTTATTGGTATTTTGATGGGGATTGCATTGAATCTGTAGATCACCTTGGGTAATATGGACATTTTCACAACATTAATTCTTTCAATCCAAGAGCATGGAATGCCTTTCCATCTTTTTGTGTACTCTTTAATTTCTTTCAACATGACTTATAGTTCTTGTTCTGGAGATCTTTCACCTCCTTGGTTAAACTGATTTCTAGATATTTTATTTTTTTGGTGACTATAATAAATGGGTTTGCTTTCTTGGTTTCTTTTCTGCTAGTTCATTGTTGGAGTTTTAAAATGCTGCTGATTTTTGCGTGTTAATTTTGTGTCCTGCAACTTTAATGAAATCATTTATCAGCTCTAAAAGTTTTTTGGAAGTGTCTTCAGGGTTTTTTTTTTTTATATATATGAGATCATGTCATCTGCAAATAGGGACAGTCTAACTGCATCTTTTTCAATCTGGATGCCCTTTATTCTTTCTCTTGCCAATTGCTTTGGCAAGTACTTTCATTTCTATGTTAAATTTGAGTGGTGAGAGTGGACATCCTTGTCTTTTTGCTGTTCTTAAGGGAAGAGTTGGTGGTAGATTTGTTATATATGGTTTTCATTGTGTTGAGATACTTTCTTCTATACCTAATTTGCTGAGAGACTTTATCATGAACCAACACTGAATTTTGTCAAGTGCTTTCTCTGCATCTATTGAAATAATCATATGGTTTTTGTCCTTTT